TGGATATCGACAAGGCTGCTACACAAAATGAATTACTGATGTGACTGAACTTTAGTCCAACACAGTGTGTGTGTGTGTGTGTGTGTGTGTGTGTGTGTGTGTGTGTGTGTGTTGCTGGACCTGAAGGGGATGCATGAGCTGACATGTCAGTGGGCCTGTGAATATATGTACTGTGTGTGTGAAGTATAGGTAACTGTTTCAAGTGTGCAGGTATGTGCATGTGTGTCGGGTGTGTGTGTGTCTAAAGCAGCTATAAATGATGCTGAAGATGAATTTGCCAGGCTGTCTCTGTGGTCAACTGTAATCTGAGCTGAGGCCAGACCTCCATCTGCCCTGAGATTCACTCACACACACACACACACACACACACACACACACACACACACACACACACACTCACACACTGTGTACTGTACATCTGATAGTATACAGGCATATGTGAAGCCACCAAACATAAACACATGACCTTACATGAACTAATAAATTCAAACAAGTGCACACACACACGTCTGCCATCCAGAGACAAACTGCTGCTTAATCATCTTTCTCCATACTTCAGAAAGCCACAGACTGCATCAGTGTCACCTGATAAGATAACACAACGCAATATTTTCTTGTTTTCTTTTGCTTCTTCGCTCCTCTCCCCGCTCTCTCACCCCTGTCTCACACTTTGCCCCTGCAGAGAATCTCTTAGAGACACCTAGCAGCCATGTTGCAGCTGTATTTAGCCGCTCAGCGTCCCCTGCCATCTGTGTCTGTCTGGTTGGCTGAAAATAAAAGACCCAAAAAAGGCCCATACAAGCTATTGACTGAAATCTCCCTATCTGGCCATTCAAGAAGTCCTTGTTTAAAAAATATAAAGTTCAATAATTCTTGTTTCACTGGCTTATTAAAACTGATAAAGGGCTTTATTGGCCTGTTACTGTCTTGCTATGAAAGTAATAAGCCACTTACAGCTCTGATTAACAGTTTTTTATATGAAAGCTAAGAGGGCTTTAAGTAAGCAGCTCCAAAATCGCAGAAAATCACAGCTTATTGCTTGAAGATATCTAATTAGAAAGAAAATCATTCGGCGACTATTCAATATCCTGAAAATGTAGGGCGTGTTGTCGAGTGATGGCTTAAATTACCTGCCACACTTTAAAAATTACCGTCATTTGATTCAATTTTGGGGTCATGATTATTTTGTAGAAGTAGCTGTCAAACTTTTAAACGACATCTCTGGTTTTGGAATGAAAAGCATTGATTAAATAATGAATATAAATGTTCAGTGGGTACCTGCACAAGTCGAGATATGCACCAAGACATGCCTGTGGAACTAAAACAGGAATGAACAGTGATGCAGCGGGACAAAAGTGTGACCTCTAAGAGAAAGAAAGCTTTCCCAGGCACAGAGGATCTCCTCGTCCTTTAAGGAAACATCATCTGTGCGGTCTGCCAAGTTTGGGGGGGAGAAAAAATAAAATCAAAATGCATTAACGGTCCCTTTATTATATAATCCTCTGTGACATCTGCTTTGATATGAATCCCTGGGTAACAAAGCTGTCACGTTATTTGCCAATGACATGCATATTCAACTACTGCTGTCGAAGGTTATTTTTAAAACAGGCTCACAGATCTGAACACACACACACACACACACACACACACACAGCAGAAGTCGCTCACTAAGCACTGCTTTCATGACATGTGATTTATTAAAATTGACAATTACTAGACATCTACATGAAAACATGAGGCGCTGATACGACTGTAACCTGATGTATTGATGAGTTGCACCCTTTCTTATAATCTGAGGTGCTAACTACAGTGCACATAATATGATATATAATTTGATATTTATGAAATGTACCATGTAGAATATGTATCATGCACATACATATTGTGGTGTATATACATACATCCGCATATTTATGTATATAATGCTCTGTCCTTGTTCCCCATGTCCATCTTGGTGTAGTTTGCTGTGATTTTTCGACTTGTGGTGTATTTTATTGGTTGTATGTTGTTGTTGTTTTAATTATTCTTAATATATAAAGTATTAAATATAATAAAAATAATAATAAATATCTAGTAATTATTAATTTTATTTTTTTGTAATTTTAT